CTCTCTCTCTCTCTCTCACAGGCAGACCGAAAATGAAGAAGCACCGCTACCAGGAGTCTAGTTCATCCGTCTAGTCCATCTGTGCCCAGGCTTATTCCGAAGAAAACGTGTTCACACGTGTGTGCTGCAATCAGAGCAAAACTGCAGACAAGGCAAGCTCCCTCCCTGACACACTGAGCAGAGCCGCATTCCAGCGCCTTCCAAACAAGAGGTCCAGTCACAGCTGCGGCTTCCCAGGGGGCGTGCTGGGCCAGTTCAACTCAAGGCACAGAGGGTCAGCTCGGAATGTGACCCCGGCTGTTCTTTTGGGAGTCCCCAGGGGGTCATCTTGGTAGATTTTCTTCAAGGGACACTGGATGATTGCGAGGGCTTACTGAGAAGGGTTCGGTGGGGGGGTAAAAAACACGGAGGAATTGCTTTCCATCGTGACAGTGTGCCTGCAGCCAGGGCTGTCCTTGGGGAATTCTGTTGGGAAACCTCCCCCCGCCCCGGGGTGTTCAACAGCTCTCCTTTCTTCTGCGAGACCTTTGGGTGGAGCCCCGCCCCCCCCCCTTCATCCTTGCTCTCGCCCTCTTTGGGCTTCATTCACTTCGTCCCCCAAACTCCAATAACATTTCAAAGGAACACAATAATCTGGGTCCTCCCAGGAGCCCAGAACTGCCGCGTGGCCGGGGTGTAGATTGACACGTGCAGGCCTCTTCGGGGAAAGGTCAAGGGAACGGGACACGGGGGCGGGCAGGGTGTGCGGGCAAAGGGGAGCCGACAGCACTGGGCACAGGGAGGGGGAAACTGTGCCAGAGTTGATTGTGGTGTGGTTGTGGATAAAGAGCAAAGCCAGCTGCTTCTTACGGTGAGATTCCTTTTTGTTTATTTGTTTGTGTGTTTTGAAATGTTATCAGGAGAGACCAGTCCTGAAAATAGGGCGTCCTACTTAGCAAACTCCAAATAAGAGGAAGACCCTCTAAAGGCTTATAACCCAAACAAGCAGCTGTCTAAGGGAGGCATCCACCAAGACCACGTGGGAGAAGCACATCAGCCTGTGCGACCGAAGGACTATCAAACATAAAATCCAAATCTGAAGGCGGGAATGGTACCGGAGCTTAAGTTGTGAACACCCGGTTTGAGAGGGCTGGGGATGACAGTGGGCACCCCAAACCCATGTGCAGGGTCCACACATGGATTACGCCCCTGGGGAGTCCCCTGTGCCGAGTCAGGGATGTGACTAGCTTACTAGCTTTGGTATCAGGGACTATGGTAAACTCGATTGTGGCAGACGTACTTGGGTTGAAACGAAAACAATCATTTGATCTCTCTTTTAACCCATTTTAAGTTTGTTCTAGTTTTAATAATTTCCTTTTTCTGGATTGAGGGTTTTCCCGCCCTTGGTTCATTTTGGTATTGCTGTTGGTCTTCGTTTGGGGTTTTTCTTCTTTTTCCTGCTGTTTTCCAGTATGTAACCCAGGATAGGTAAATCTATAGACGGTAATGGGACTGATGGATTCGTATTGGGGGTATGGGAGGAGCTAATAAGAGGACATAGGTGAAAATGTTCTAGAACTGGTTGTACTGATGATTAGACAGCTTTTTAATACGATTGCACGATGGAAGTGCATGACACGTGAACCATACGTCAATAAGACTTTTTTAAAAAGAGGAAAGAAATTAAAGCGGAGGAAGCCCCTCGCTGAGACAGACGGACACAGGGGCTGCAATAACTGAACGACACACAGATTACAGCTGTGAGGCCTGCACAAGGCCGGGCAGTATTTCACTCTGAGATTTGGTCTATGAGCCGGGGCTGCGCTTTGGCAACTCACAACGGCCTCCTGAATAGAACTGAACTACTTTTTTTTAAAGAATTGAACTATTGAATTGTAACGACACGTTAATTACCTCCCAATAGGACGACCTAGAACAGACAAAACAATGGAAAGTCATTCCGCAGTTTAAAATTTCTGCTCAGGGCCCGATGATTTTACAGCGGTCCTTTTTTTTTTAAGGGGGCGAGCAGGGGTTCCCTTGCTGTAATTCAATTTAAAAAAAAAAAAGAAGAAAACTTTCCATTGCGAATTAGGCAAAGGTTTTCGGGGCAGGTCATCAGGTTCACAGATCCACACCCATTTGGACTCGACTCACCATGGCCGCCCCCTCAATGGCTCCTCCCTCCCTCACCCCACTTCCCCGTGTTTCCAGCTTCCCCACCGCCCTCTTGCCTGACCCTCTGTGCTTGGGTAAATGCTGCCCTTTGGCTCTGTCACGGTGGATTATGTGAGCGCAGGTTTAGCGACGTCATGTCCGTGGTTCCCTATCTCTGCCCCCCCAGGCACCAGCACACACGCGGAGACATGCGCAGCAGAAGCAGATACGCGCGTGTGGAGCCCTGGTGGCGTAGTGGTCACACACTGAGCTGAGATCACTAGGTCAGCAGTTTGAAGCCACAAGCCGCTCCTCCCTGTACTCTTGTAACGCAGTTAGTCTTGGAAACTCACAGGGGCAGTTCCACCCTCTGATAGGGTCTCTAAGGGCTGGCATAGATTTGCTGCGAATTGAAACCAATTCAATGGCAGTGGGTTTGGGTTTTTTGGGGGGTGGGGGGGTGGGATTTGGGGGAGGTTGAGCAATGCTCAGAGCCACTGGGACCAGCTGCCAGTGGGGAGCCGGGTGAGCGTGGCGGCCACCTGGCGTTTGCCAGAAAGTTCTAGAGGCTCAGTGCTCCGAAAAGCCCCATGTCCACGCTTGAGTCCCCAATGGGTGGGTTCGGGTCCCTCCCTTCCATAGCTTGGGTTGGTCTTGGAGGACATTAGCATTCCCTCCCCTCTCTGACACCCCCCCTGCCCTGGCCTGACCAGCCTTGCCTCCCACCTTCCTGGCCCCGCTCCTGTAGCTGTGGCCTAGAGTCTGCAGGGCCCGTCTCCCTTAGAATCTGGCAGACCCACTGTGTGCGGACATGCAGACTCACTGCGTGCAGCTATTCGCGGTCTCATCCTGCCCGTGTGCCCCCCCCCCCCCGGAGGGCGCGGGGAGGGACAGCCACACAGATTCCAGAGAGTTAACTCACACCCACAGAACTCACTCACAAGGAGCTACGCCAAGATTTGAACCCAGGCCTCTCTGCCCCAAGCCCCCCTCTTGGGCTCCTCTGGGGCCTCGAGGCTGATCCAGGGCAGATGTTTTGCTCCACACCCGAGCCCTGGGCCAGGCCTGTGTCCTCAGCTCCCCTTCGAGGGAGCTGACCTGGAGCCATGTGTGTCCCCAGCCAAGGACATGGGGAAAACTCACCGTGGCAGAGTCAGGAATCTGAGAGCTGGGAAAAAGTGGCCCGGGGACCAGGTGGACGGAAGAGCGGGCCATAGGGGGGCTGGCATCTGGGCCTGCTGGCATGCGCAGCTGGGACACACCCTCGCACCCACCAATCCCTCCAGCGTGCCTAGTGGGTCCTGCCCTGCCCCTGGCCACTCCATCCTCTCTCTGCTCGGCCAGCATCTCCCTGGGGAGCCTTGTTCACTCTTGCCAGTCAGCCCCCTCCTCGCCTACGTGCCCTCGTCACAGTTCTAATGGTCCTGTTATGTGTTGCCAGGCAGCCGGGCTCCCGGGGGTGGGGGTGGGGGTGGGAGGAGACCCAAGTGCCCTCCCTGAGCCCTAGGCCGGCCCTCTGCACCTCGGAGTCTGCAGGCATCCAGACCCTGCGAAGCAGCACTGGCTCCCGGGCCCAGAGGGTTACAGTCTGGTCGGCCAAGCAAACACCTCCTCGGCCCGGCTCCAGGCGGCCTTCGGAGCAGCAGGGCCAGCTCAAAGCTGCCTTTGCTGCTGGCTGCGTCCGCCATTAGAACGCTTCTTGCGGTCCTTCGGAATTTCACCCCCCTCCCCTTTGTGGGACCCTCCCCACTCCTCTCTTCAGAAGAATCACCGTGGAGAGCGAGAAGGCCGAGCGTGGCGTCACTGGGGCTGGGGTCAGCCCCTCACCACCACCAGGGACCTGCTCCGGAAGGAGAGCCCAGG